TTTCAGGACTTAAAATATAACTTTGTTGCTCATTTAGCTTGTGGGTTTTTCTTGTTTTGGTTTTTTGTAATACCTCCTGTACAACAAGGACACAAAGTCTCTAGTACATCTACAGGTGTAACCACATACTGATGTATACAATCACATTTCCTATGTGCAGCAGCAGAGCTTGATGCTGAGGAAATTTATATCATCAAATTCAAAGGATTTGAGGACAGGCTAAAGCTAAGCATGTGCTTAAATGCTTTTTTGAATAAGAATTGAGGTTGTTTACTCTTTGTGTTTTGAAGTCCAGCTTGTGATGCTTGTTGATGATTCCTACCACATGCAAGATTTCAGGCCTTGCCTTTACTTTCAGACTCACTTAAGCTGGAATTTGGGAATGATAATTAGGGAGAGACAAGATGCAGGGCTTTGTTTTCCAGAGAGAGCATAAGCTGCCTTTAAATTTCACACCTTGTCAGAGTGGTACCCACAGAGGCAGCCATCCAAGAGCTGAGGGCAGGCACAGAGAAGCCCTGACCTGAGCAAGGGCTCATCCCAGAGCATCCAGCCAGGCAGGAGGACAGGGCTGGAATGGTGCCAGGGGCTGCAAGTGATCATTAAAAAAATGAGGGGGGACAAACCAGGTCCAGGGTCAGGCCAGGAACAGCACTCAACGAGTCAGGAGCAGCAAAGGCCAGAGCTGAGAACAGACTGCCCAAGGCCCAGCCTGGGACAGGAATGGGGCTCTGGCTGGTCAAGGGCTCCTGATGTGCCCAGGACCTGGCATTTCTTCATGGATTAACATGAGATTTCACCATTTTTATATTTAAAGAAGCCACTGACAGAAAAATAAATCTCTTGCATCTAAGAACAAGACTCAGGCTCTCAAGCAAACACTTTAGTTGCAGGAATTTATTGCTTTTAGAGAACCATTTCCATTGACACAGGAGATACATATGTTTACAGTGGACCTTAGTGAGATCCTAACTTACTTAGGCAAAGGATGAGAAGAAATGGTTAATAAACAGAAAAGAGCAACAGCTTAGTGTTCAGTCAATAATACTGAATTGTTATTCACAGATTTCAGGGTACTTTTCAAAAAGCTGAAGAAACTCAGAGAGAATGAATGAACTGTGCATAAGCCATGCAGCAGATTGAGATCAGAGAAGCAGATATTTTGGGTTTATTTTGGATCACAGTCTGAACATGAATGATCCATATTGTGTTGTTGCAAAGTATCAGTTGTACCAAGATGTTAAATTTTATACCAACCATGTTCCTTCTTTCTAATGAGTGGAATGTCACAGCAAGATAAGAAATCAGCAGGTCACCTCATCCACTGCCACAACCTAAAGTAGAATCATATAGATCAGCAAAATGCTCCAGGTCACACCCAACTCTGGAATTATAATTGTAAAGTTAATCAGCTTCCTCAGTCAACCAGAGCCCCAGAAAAATTAATGCTGGCATAAGACAGTGAGGCAGAAAATGAGTAGCAAGGGGAGGAGGAAAGGCAGAAATTATTTATACCAGTATAATGTGCTGAACTATGATTCTACTTGATCTTATTGAACATCTTTATTATTTATTTTAAAGTTATTATTTACTTTAAATGTTCCCTGAATGGTCAAAAAATATTTTGAAATGTAATTCTGTGTCCTCCCCCCTTCGCATCACCTGCAAAATTAATAAGAATTTTCTCTGTTCCGTTATTTAAATTTTAATATCAATAACACAGAGACTCAGACTGAAGACAGGCTCTAAAAAACCAGCAATATATCCTTTCCTTTTGTGAGTGAACTATTTCTTGCTATGTAGGAAGTTTTGTACAGACCTCATAAAACATTTACCCAGACTGTATTTCTTTAACTTTTTAAAGAAAATGTCATGTAAGTGTCATAAGCAAAATCAAGCTGACAACAGGCTCTGTCCTATCCATAAGGCCTGTTCCCTATTGGAGGATAAAAATCAAGTTATCTGGTGTGATTTATTTTTGACAGATCCATGTTGACTGCAATGTTTCTCTGGTTATCATCTAGGTGCTAATAATAGTTTGTGAGGTTTATTTGTCCAAGGATTTTTTAATGAATTTTAGTTAGTCTCACTCAAATTGAGCTGTATTTCTCTGGCTCCATCCCCTCTGATAACAGCAATGTACAGTTGCCTCTTCTGTTTTTCCACCATCTCATTCACCTTCTTAATTCTTCAACTGTCTTTCAATCACATTCTCTAGACTCAAACTGAAAACATTTGGTTCATTTGTCTCAAACTGAAAACATTTGGTTCATTTGTGTGCTCCTTATCTGTTCTTTACCTACTCTGGGCTGAGATAATTTTGTTCTCAGCATCACCAGTCCCAACTATCAGCTTGTGCTTGGTCTTTTTTGTAAGTCCAATACAACAGACACCAATCCCTTTAGTTGTCTTCATAATTTGTTGATAGATTTTTTCTCTGTTGAGTAGGGGGTTAATAATTTCTCTATGTCTTTCTTAGTACAAATATATGTAAAGAGCAGTTTTTATCTGGTAGCTTTTGACAGTTAAATGGTTTTGCAGCAGTACCTTTTTTAGTGCTTCTTTCTTATTCTTAGTGATTTGACCCATCTTCCTTTGTATTTTCTTCATGTGCTTAAGGTCAATAGAGACCTCATGATGTGGCCAAGCTCAGCTTACTGCTATTTCTGTTCTACTCACAATTGGGATAAATGGCCCTTTGAATTATTTTCTAAAGCATTATTGCTTTTCTTAACTCCTCTCTTTAAACTTCCTTCCTGTGAGCTCTTAACTATTGATTGCTTAAATCTTTAGCTTTCATGACTTTTGTCTTTATTTAGCTGTGCTCTTTCCTTCCTCTTTAATGGACAACAAGCTGTCATTTTGCAAACACTCTGGTTTTTGTGAGCAAAATGCTGCCCACTTTCACGTTTTCAGCCAGTTATTCTTCACTGGCAATCTCTGAAAAAAACACAGCAAACCCAAATCACCCAACCAAGCCTTCATATACTTGAGGCTAGGCCATATTCTAAAGAAATCACTTCATCTGAAATACCAGGGTTTTTCACTTCACCAAAGATAAGCTCAGGAAAGAAGTCAGAGACGCATACCCCAGACACTGCCAAAGGTGAGAGACTGAAATGCAGAGACAAGGTGTAAAACTGCCTGGGATTGCTTCCAGCTGCAGTAGCTGTCCTGTTGTATGTGACTGAGGGAGTGGAAAGGAGAGATCTGTCCCAGGTTGTTCATTGGCAGACCCCTAAGAGAAAACACTCTGTGCTTTGTGAGCAGTAATCGTGTGTTTTAGAAATAGAGTATCTTTTTGAACAGTAACCCTACAGCTTAGAAATAGAGGAAGAAGAAAACTGGCAAATATTGGTGTTAGTGCTGAACTGCTTGTTTTGAGAATTCAGGCTGTGAAGCAGGGTAGCGCAGTATGCGTGTGTTGCAGGTATGTGTGTGTCTGGTTAATGGGGCAGGAATTTACAGGAACATTGTGCTGCAGGTTTAGATCAACAATAGGGGTTTTAATCAATCACCAGTGACTGAAAAACCAGCACTTTGTAGAATTCTTATTAAGCTCAAATTGTGGAAAGGAGTCCTTGAAGATTTTGGAAAAGCCTGGTGGGATCCCTTCTCTCCCCAAAAGGGAGTAATTTCTTCCACAGCAGTGGCAGTGACATACAGCCTCCAGCTTTACAGACCAGGTGCTGCTGCTGCTGTGTCTATATAGAAATCCCTTTGACTCAGCCAATATTGATATCTAACTGGTCTTTTCAAACTTATTTGTGGAACTAAGCTTTTATTTTCAATTAATCAGGCTCAGCAGTTTGGCCAGTGATGGTGCTGTCCTAATGCTGTCCTGTGCAGAAGGAAAGCCCTGAAATAATCAGGATGGGGAGAGCAACGTGCTGCATGCAGGTAATGTGAAATAAAATTTTTAGGAGGCAGCTCTCAGGGGATGACCTGGCTCTGACTGCCTTGAAAATATCCCCTCAACCTGCTACTCTCTCCGGATCCCCACAGACCTTTGCCTTTCAGACAGAGTTACATATTTGCAATACAACCTCTTCACAATGCTACAAACCAGGCACCAAATCCATGCTCTGCTGCACAGGGCACACATGGCAGTAAACAGTCTGAGCACTGAGACAGGTGGGGTCTGTGCTCTATGTGAGACACTGGGCACACCTGGCTGGGGACCCCTGTGTGTGACACTGGGCACACCTGGCTGTGTGTGACACTGGGCACACCTGGCTGGGGACACCTGTGTGTGACACTGGGCACACCTGGCTGTGTGTGACACTGGGCACACCTGGCTGGGAGCACCTGTGTGTGACAGGGGGCACACCTGGCTGGGAGCACCTGTGTGTGACACTGGGCACACCTGGCTGTGTGTGACACTGGGCACACCTGGCTGGGGAGACCTGTGTGTGACATTGGGCACAACTGGCTGGGGACACCTGTGTGTGACACTGGGCACACCTGGCTGTGGGCACCTGCCCATGTCACACCGGAGCTGAGCTGGAGCCCCGCTCGGGTTTGTCCTTCGGCCGACCTACCTGTATCTGCTGCAATGGCACTTGAAAAACTCGTTTATCGAGGTAAGGTCGCTGCGATCGGCTCGGTGAACAGGACGGCGCTGACGGGCGTGCAGAGCTGTGCCTGTTCCTTGCCGCCCTCCCGGCCTGTGGCACTGAGGGGGCGAGGAGGAGGAGGAGAAGGAGGAAGGGGGGCGGCTGGGCGAAATCAGCGGCCACAGGCGGGAGGGACCGGGCGCGGGGAGCGCGCACCCGCCGAGGGAGCGGCGGCGGAGGGAGGCGGGCGCAGCCGTGCGGGAGGGAGGAGCAGGCGGCCGGACGCAGCCAATTCGGGGGACTCGTCCATTTTTCGGCGTGAGTCAGGCACGTCGGTGGGGTGATGCTGCGGCGCCGGGCAAGGGCCGGGCCAGCCGCGGGGAGCGGCCCGCCCGCTCGGGCCCGGAGTCTCGGCCGTGCCGCCGAGCGCAGCGGTGCTTCCTCCTTCCCGTCCCTCGCCGGCGCCATGGCCGGGGGCGCCGGGCCTGCCGCTCCCTGACACCCGCCCGCCCGCGGAGGTACCGCGCCCGCGGATGCGCAGGGACGGCGGGGCGGGCTGAGGGGGCCGCAGACGGCGCTGGCCGCGGGTAAGGGCAGCTCAGATCGGGGAGCGAAAGGCGAGCGGCGGGCGGCAGAGCCGGCGGGGAGAGGAGGGTCCCGGGGAGGGGGTCTGGAGCTGGCGGGCTCCGTGCAGCTGCGGCCTCTGCTCCCCTCAGGCTGCTGCGTGCGGGACTCTCCGGGCAGCGGAAGGCAAGGGAAGAGGTGCCCGTGCCCCGAGCGGAGCTGCCCGCTTCTCACGGAGCCTCGTAAGGAGGGGCTGCAGCGGCAGCGTTTCGTCAGCCCGGCAGTGTTTTGGCTTTGATTCCGTCTTGCTCCTACCTGCTCCTGGAGAAGAGGTCCCCGCCATGTCTCGCTACAGCCTCCACAACCTCCTGGACTGGATGTACGGCGGGGTGGACCCCAGCTTTGCCGGCAATGGAGGGCCGGAATGCGCCGCCTTTCTCTCCGGCCAGCAGCGCCTGCTGGAGAGTTTGGTGTTCCTCAGTGTGGGCACCGTGGAGATCCTCGTGTCCCTGTGGAAGCTGAGGCAGCAGCACGTCCAGGAGCTGGAGAATCTGCTGCAGCAGCCCCAGACTAAGCGGGAGAGCCTGGGCAAGAACGTGCTGCTGGTGCTGCTCTGCCTCATCTTTGGGCTGGAGGTGGGGTTCAAGTTCGCCACCAGGACTGTCATTTACCTCCTGAATCCCTGCCACGTGGTCACCATGATGCAGGTAAGGCTCGTGCAGGGTCACCTGGAAGTTTGCTTTTGTGATGTACTTGCAAAACAGTATTTTTGCCCCCATAGTTGGTTTGTGGAACAAAAGTGCCTAGCAAAAATACAAATGCCAAGAATGATATAAATATTTTAAAACATAAGTTTTGGGTCAATTGAATCAAAAGGTATCAAAAAACCCAAGTCAGATGAAAAGGTGAAATTGTAGCTATAACTAATGTCCAGATCTCTGGTTGAAAGTGTAGATGATTAAGGCTTTCTCATCACTTGCCTTCACCTGATCCTTGTTCAAGAATAGAAGGTGCTGTTCGGACTGGCAGCAGTGCTAAAATTTGCACCAAATCTAATGAAAACAAGATTAAATGCAACACCAGCTATGTAATTTACATGCAGCTTTTTCAAGCAAGTGCCTTCTAGGGGTGTGATTCTATTTTGTGAAGGTGTTGGAGAAACAAATTACTCATTGTGCAGATACTGTTGGTTTACCTTTCTAATTTTAGAGGCTGAATAGTAAAGAAACAGGTGTTACCTGTTTCTCATATTTGGGGTGAACAAACTGATGTGGCCTAACATGTGTGGGTAATCCATTTCCTTTTATCACTTGGGGCATGGTTGTTGATGTGTAATACTTTGCAGTTTGTGTAGATTTCAAAATAATGGATACATAGACAAACTGTTACTGAACTGGGCTATCTAAAGCTTATAAGCTGTGTTTGTTAATATTTCTGTGCATGTACTTAACTATCAGTTTTGCTGAGCTTGTTATGGAGTGTTGGAGATATCAAAAATATTATTATTTCACTAATTTTATACCCTCAGCACTGAATGGCTTAAAAAATTCAAGGTCAAGAATTAAGCGAAGAATGTCAAAAAGGCTTTTATGAAAGTTGCCATGACAGCAATGTCTGTCTAAGATCAATAACAGATGAAAATCAGATCAATGACATTCTGGGTCTCCTATTGCAGTATGTGAGGTGATCTGGGCTGAATCAGATCTAGCCTGTTGTTGTATTCACATCTGGAGAGCATTTCCTAAAAGGCAGGGAAATATCTTTTCTGATTGTTCCAGTGGTTTGAGAGATGAGTTTTATTTCAAGGGCAGGGGGACAAGCTGATACAGCAATATTCAAGACTTTTACAGCAATCAATTTACAGTTCCAGAACGAAGTAGTAGGTTATATAAATTCCTAGGCTGTGATGCAGTGTTTGCTCAGTAATTTACAGCATAGGACACTTCCTTCCCGTGAAGTGATAAAGGATTGTTGTGAAATCAGCCAGTCAGTACTGAGGTGAAGGTATGCAAGGACTATGTAGAAATAATTAAAATAAATTAATATGGCCACATTTCCTTTCTAGGCAGTGCACAATGATAACTGGAAAGTTTTCCTATTAATTCTCTGGAAAAGAGGTGAGGCTAAATATAGCCTCAGTAGGATTTAGTGGGAGTTTAGTTGTCTGTATGTTATGATGTTAACAATAAGTATTCAGCTGAATGTTTCACAGACCTGGGACAGCCAGTTCTGTTCACCCCTTTCAATGGTGCCTCCTGAAAGGGAGATGGAGTCTATTGACAGTTAAGCTCTGTAGTCAGGCATTGCCATTTCTGAATCTCTTTTTGACTAATTGTGAAGTTTTAAAAGTAATCCTAGCTAATTACTCACTAGAAATGGTGTTCCAGCATTTGTGAAATTGAGAGGGTGAGCATATTGGCAAAATGTGGAAGTCATGCCCTTTCATCCTCAAAAAGATGCATTAGAAATTAGAAATTAGGCTTAATGTAGAGAAAGAAAATAATGGCAAAACCAATGGCTTTCAGCAGACAAAGAGAGTTAGAGCCAAAGATTGTCAATGACCTTCACCAGCAGACAAGTAATGCATAGTTGGAAAACATTGTTTTCCTGGCCTGAATTTGCTGAGGGCAACAGATTTGTAAGATGAAATATATGAAAATATATTTGCCCTTCACTTCTCTTCTTGCAGTAGTGTGTACATAATGCTGCTGTGTCTAAATAATAGCATGAACAAAGTAGAAGGTGAAGAGATGAAATGTGCTACAACAATCAAGATCACTTCAAAGGGAAGCCAACAGTAGCTGTTGATAAAGGTCTCTTCTTTCACTCTGTTTCTGTTTTCATTTTCTTCAGCTGAGACTGTTTCACCTCAGCAACAAATACTCTGGGCTCTGAGCCAAAAATATTTGAAACTCAAAATTATGCTTCAGATTCTCCCTGAATAAAAGCAAAATTCCTGCTCTTAAAAGACCTAAGACTGAACTGAGATCAAAGTAAAATGGAAGCTAGGTGTGTGTGCATTTGGGTGTGTAATACAATGGCTGCTGAGTTTTAGAAATGAGTCTGTTCTGACCAGGTGTCTGCTTTTTGCCTATCATGCCAACCTGTGTTCAAATCTTTTCATAAGTGGAAAGAACTAGTTTGGATGTGTCATTGCAGGGATGAAGTGTTGATCAAATGAATGTTTTTAACTGCCTCAACAGGTCTCATGGCTAATCAGCTTCCTAGAATTTGTTGCCACCCTGTCATCTGCTTGAATTACTAGAAGCTGTGGCACTCATTTCCTGTTCTGGGTTTTGGCTTCTTGCTTAGCTTTTGGAGGAAGAAGGGTGTTTCTTCACTAGTGTCATGCATGCAGCAGCATTGAGAGAGAAATCCTTTTAGTCTTAAAAAATGATATATATTTTGTAACAAAGGTGAATGGAAACTGGTGTGGTTTCTCTGCCAGCTGTGGGGTGGGGATGGGGACTGTTTGTGCAGCAAGGGGAGAAGTCTGTGAAGGAATTCGTAGTGAACTCTATCTTTACATAAAAAATGGTCTTTGTGAAAATTATTTGAATACCTCTGTTAGAAAACAAAAGCCACAAACCACTCTCCTTTTAGGACTGGTATCAGATTCAAATTGGACCAGTGCTGCTGCAGACCTGACATAAAAGGGAAATATTAAATCCCCAGGCTGTTCAAAACCTTTGCCTTTCCATTGCAGGAAACAAAAATCAGCATATGTTCAAGGAACCAGGTGTTATATTTTCAAGACATTAATCCTTTCTAGTATTTTAGAGGACATAATTGTGATATTGAAATTGGCTATGTGAAGGAAATGTTTAAAGTTTGTGATTGAGCAGTGTGAGAGGGAAGATTTCCTCGAGAGCCAAGTACAGCACTATTGATTTCTTTAAAAGCTTTGTGAAGGAGACCTTGAGCAGCAGCCAGGTCTTGTGCTTGTTGAGAATTAAGCGTTGTGTCCCTGTCTATGAGCATTGCTTTAGTGAGGTGAAACGAAAATTTCAATCTTTGCAATGTCAAACCAGATGATTTCTAACCAATTTTCTTTATCTGTTCTGTATTCTTTAAACTATACTTGTACTAGTTTGAAAGAAAACCAGTGACAGATCCCAAGTCAGAACTACAACTTAATAGGAAAATTGAAATAAATGCAGTAGTACAAAACCAGTGACAGAGTCAGGATACAGCCTGACACCTTGTGGGTCAGGGTGTTGGTAGCAGTGCAGTTAAGGTGGCTGCAGTGCTCCTGCAGTGACAGGTGTGGTTCTGTTGGAGCAGCGAGGCTGTAGAAGTGTGTGGTTTTCCTCTGAGGGTCCAGTGGTGGTGTAGATGGGATTCCTCTGGGAATCCAGTGAGAAAAGGCTGCTCTGGTGTTCCAAATTTCAGATTATATCCAGGTAGGAATGCTTGGCTCCTCCCCCAGGTGGAGCATCTCCCACTGGGATGATGTAACTGTATCAATCATGCACTGAGACCCAATGGCCCTAAATGTCCCCCTGGAGGGAGGATGGGGCTTGGAGGAGATGAACAACTCTGCCCCACCTGGTTTTAACAGCTGGCAATAGAATACATACTTTTGGTTACATCTGACATTGTAACCTCAGATGTTACTTTTCAGCCAAAACCCTTGTGTTCATGTAGCAATTCTTTGTTTCACGTTTAGTGAAGGAGCAGTTAGAATTTATATCAAAACCTTGTTTTACATAATTTGCTCCTGCACCCCCAGTTTGTAATTTGACAATCAAGGTAACTTAATGCAAATGAGTAAACACAGGTGTCTCTTGATGTGCTGAAGACACCCAGCTGGAGTCAACAGGCAATTAAAATTAGGTGTAGACAGGAGCCTGGGCTAAAATTAGTCTGTATTGCAAAGGAGAAACTTGTAACCAAAAAAAGAAAAAAGTAAGGAAAAAGCGATCTAAAGCAGAGGTTGTAGGTAATACTGGTAGAGTGAAGTAAGCTTAAAAGGTCCTTTCCAGCATGAATACTACTACTACTACTAATAATAATAATTATGTGATTATTATAATGCTTTCCTTTTTTAAAAGATCTTCAGTATTAAACACTGCAGGTTATGACTGACCAGTCTGTAGAAATTAAAATGGTATGTGCATAATTTTATTGAAACCTTAAGGAAGTAGCAGAAACATGACTGCAGCCTAATCCTAAAATTATAGGTACAGCCACTTGTTCTTGTAAACTGTTTTGGATTTTGAACTTGATTTTAGTATATCTAGGCCTTCTTCCAGAATTGGAAGCTTTAATACCAATCTTAAAACCAAAATTGGTGCTTTAATACCAATCTTAAAATAAATTTTGTAATTCTATTTTATTCTAGAAACAGTTTTGCAAAAATAATTTCTCAATGGTAAATTTCAGCTAGTTAGTTATTGTAATTCTTGTCCAGTTTTTCACTGAATTATTCCACTTCAGCCAGTTAAGGACTGACATTTGTTTGGAATAAAGAAAAGTGTGTTTTTAGGAAACATCTGTTTTGCTGGGTTATTGCTTTGGTGATTTTTTTTTAGGCAAAGAAAAGTAAATGTAAAAGGGAAGCAATAGGTGGAAAGAAGGATAGATTTCACCTGGTGATTTTGGTCTGATGTTTGCATAAATAAAGTGAGTGCTAAGTGCATCTGCAGCTCAGTAAATACTAAATTCTGTGTTCATTATTTCCAGTTCTGGCTTCTTTAGAGACCTG